CAATTAGAATTTTTAATTTTTTTGCTTCTGATGTTTACTTTCACGCAGGGACCGTGATACCAACTTCTGCATAAACTGCAGCTGAGTCTGGTTTTAACATTTTTTCTGCATATTTTACAAAAAAATTAATGTTTATTTTCGTGATTTATTTATTTTATTTTAAGTTTACTGAAAGTCTGTTGGGTTTTTAATCGCTGATACTTAATCGCCAAAGAGATTATTTTATATATGAATTTACTTTAAACATGTTGGGTTTCTAATCATCGAAGATTACTCGCCAAAGAAATTATTTTAATTTTAAATCCACTACAATACTTTTGGGCTTCTAATCGCCAATGTTTACTTGCCAAATAAATTATTTTATATAAAATTTACTGGTGAACTATTGGATTTTTAATCTCGCCAACGATTCTGGTATATTAATGAATTTAATAAAAATCTTTTGGGTTTTTAATCACTGATGTCTGCTCGCCAAAGAGATTATTTTATCAATTAATTCACTAAAAAAACTGTTGAGTAACTAATCTACTTTGTTACCTTACTTTCACGATTTATATCGTTTTCGTAGTTTTCTCTAACTTACTTTTGTTCTACTGAATTCTCACTGCGGTACTCTTGGTTCTTTTTAAGTCCTCTTGATACTCTTCTTAGTTTTCTGGTTATCTGTATATATTCTGTATAGTTACCACAACTGTAATGCATAGATGGGGACTCGAGGACATAGGAGAGGACAGAGAGGACTCAAAGAGTATTGAGGAAACTATAGAGGACTTTTTGGAGAGAACTTTAAGAGGACTGGAAGTGATTAGCCCCTCTCATTGTACACTTTAAATAAAAAAGAAGTTCGCTGAAATCACTCCCAGTTACTCATGTTTTAGGCACGACAGCCTCTCTGGAGTCCCGAAATAATAATTTAACAAAAAAACAATAACGTTTGACGCATAACTATGGGTTATCTTTATCGTAAAATAAATTCTTACGTAATTCGTCAAATGATTTTTTTAGCCATAAATAGAATAGATTTTTCTTGGTAAATTATCCAAAAACCGTTACACAAGCGCTTTAAAAAAATATTTGTATAAATGTAAGACATATTAAGGCTTACTAATGCTTTCAAAATGAATTTTTTAAATTTCAAGTGGTTATCTTGGTTCGTATAATAATATTGTGAAATTAAAAAAAAATTTTTGGTCACTGGTAAAACATAATACGTTAGTNGAGCTGCTGTACTACGCAGCAGATGGATGAATGCTGGTTCGGTGCGGGGAGCGGGTCTGGGGGCCACGAGTCGACGTCCTCGGCGAGCCAAGCAGGGCCCTCCCACCAAGTGCGCTGCGAGCGAAGGCCGCTCATGTCGGCACCTCTGGTCGCGAGGTCGGCTGGATTTGACTGGGTCGGCACGTATCGCCAGACACTCGAAGGCAGCATTTCCTGGATTTGGGCGACATAGTTGTCGATCAGCACGTTGTAGGTTGGCCTGTCGGAACGCAGCCAGTGCAGAACGATCTGTGAGTCGCACTATGCGTGACAGCGGTCGACAGGTACGCGTAGCTCGTCGGCAGCGGTCCGCAGGAGCTTGGCAGCAATCAGTGCGGCACGAAGCTCGAGGCGCGGAATCGTCATGTGCGCGGATGTCACTGGCGCCGGCTTGAGCGAGCGAATCGGCAAGAGCTTCGTCCGAGCCAGAAGAATGTGGCAGAGCGCCGGCCCAGCCCCGGGCGCGAGGCAAGAGTAGATGACGGCTGCCATCGCGCGGCGACTGGCGTCCGAAAAGCCGTGCAGGTAAAGCTCGGAAGAAGGCCCAACTCCGATCCAGCGCGGTAAGGTGAAGGTGGAGATGGCCTAGAGCTCGGCGGTAAATTCCGCCCATCGGCGAGTCATTGAGATCGGCGCAGGCTCGTCCCAGACCAGTCTGGCGCGCCAGAGATCCTGGAGCAAGAGCTTGGCATTCAACACGATCGGCGCGAGCCAGCCGCATGGGTCGAACAGACCCGCGAGCCCCGCGAGCATCGTCCGCTTTGTGCTCTGCGGCTGGAGTGGTGGAGGCGTCAACTGAAAGCAGTCCGACGGTGGATTCCACTTGACCCCGAGCTCGCTGACGAGGCCTTCAGCGCTGAGCTGCTCCCAGGTCGGACGTAAGCGGACGTCGTCAGGCAGATCGTCGAGCAGCTCAAGGACATTGGCCACCCACTTCCGCAGGGGAAAGCCACCGGCCTTCATAAGCCCGCTCAGCTGGTCGCGGAGGCGCCGAGCCGCGGTGACGTCGTCGGCCCCGGAGAGAAAGTCGTCAGCGTAGCGGTCACACAGGACGGCTGACACAGCTTCGGGCCAGTTGTGGCCTTCGTCCTGGCATAGCTGTTGGAGGGTACGCAGCGACAGGTAAGGCGAGCACGATTCGCCGTAAGTCACAGTGAGCAGCTGGTAGTGGGTTGGAGGCTGGCTGGGATCGGCAGCCAAGACGATCCGCTGCAGGTCGACGTCACGGTAGTCGATCCAAATCTGCCGGAACATCATGCGGATGTCGCCGCAGAAGGCGATGCGGTGCCGCTGCCAGCGCATGAGCACCGATGGGAGCGTGGCTTGGAGTCTGGGTCCAGCGTGGAGGACGTCATTCAAACTGTGGCCACTGGAAGTCGGGTTGGACGCGTTGAAGACTACTCGGAGCTTGCGCCCGCGATCAGCATGCTGCCAGATGCCATGATGATGGATGTAGTTGACGGGCCCAGCTGTAGCTGCAAGCTTAGCGCTGGTGAGCGGGCGCATGTGGCCCATCGCGAGATAGTCAGCCATGAATCGACTATACTCCACAGCCATATCGGGGCTTCGCCGAAGCCGGCGTTGCAGGGCTGCCAAGGAGGCCTTGGCGCTCTGAAGACTGTCGCTAAGAAGAAGCGAANCTATTAAATTCTTAAAAATGTAGGGTCAACGACTTAACTTGAGAGAAAATCAGAAGAAAAGTATGAAATATTAATCTGGCTTGCCTTGCAGCATCTCCCAATTTTCACAGTTATGACGGTACTTTTCTGGCAAGTTCTTGATCTTGTACTTAGGTTCTATAAATAAATAAATTTTAATAAAATTTGCTCTGAGTCAGATTCGATCCCAGTGCCGCAAAAAAATGGGCCTCGATGTGTGCATTAGCCATCTGAGCTATCAACGCATAGAATAAGATTAAAAGTTACATATGTTTATCATTAAGTTCCAAAGCTTTAATTTAAGATTTAATTTAAGTTTTATTGTATTGTTACAGTTAAGCTTTCTAGTAATGGTTAACTATTATACATCATTTTAAAGACAAAAAAGACTTCAGCGCACTGGGGCGTTTGGTTAAAGGCATTCGTATATTATTAAATAATATATTACTTGTTACAAGAAAAAAAAAAAAAAAAAAATTAAGCGTACTGTGTCATTGTGATAAATGCGTTCATATATTATTCAATTATTTCACTTGTCATAAAAGTGAAGAAGAATTGNATTGTATTGTTACAGTTAAGCTTTCTAGTAATGGTTAACTATTATACATCATTTTAAAGACAAAAAAGACTTCAGCGCACTGGGGCGTTTGGTTAAAGGCATTCGTATATTATTAAATAATATATTACTTGTTACAAGAAAAAAAAAAAAAAAAAATTAAGCGTACTGTGTCATTGTGATAAATGCGTTCATATATTATTCAATTATTTCACTTGTCATAAAAGTGAAGAAGAATTGAGTGCACTAGGCCATTGGAGTAAAGGCACTTGATTATTACTTAAGCAAAATAGTAATTTAGTTATATTGAGCTCGTCATTTTTGGAAAAATGAAAGAAAAAAATTTTAATAACTTGACAATTATGTTTTTATTTTTACAGCTGAATGAATAATCAACTTCATTTAAAAATCTTATCTTGCTTTCAGGAAAGAAAAGCGAGAGAAGTAACTTAATACGCGCAGCTCTTCTCCGTTCGTATGAGTATACAACTATAGCTATAGATTTTTAGCCATTCATCTCCCCTCACCTCTCCCGCAAGCTGAGCCGACGAGCTGCCAGCCAATAGAAAACAGAAGCATAGTTCCTCTGCTGGCCACCATGGATTGGCGCTCAAATCAGCGCCGAAACATTGGCACACTCGTTAGCATAGGCACTGGCAATCTCCCTACTTATCTCTGGTGTAACGTGCGTCTCCGGCGACAGCGCTGGCTAGAAGAAAGAATCTACTAAAGTGCCTGAACTAGGCGTTTCTGCTGCTTGCTCTATCTCCTTCTCTCTTCCCCGCAGCTGAAGCGACGAATGGTAGGGTTGGCTCGGCTTATGCTGCTTTCCAGTTAGAAGGAGACACGAGGTATCAGCTGCTGCTTGGGCCTTGCATGTGCAGCTCGCAAGCATTGCTAAGTTGCCACATATACACAAATTATTATTTGTGACACGAGCAATTTCGCCCTTTCACGCTGGGGCCTAGGCCTTCCTGGGCGACAAATCCGTGCGATTGGAAAATATAACAAGCTGCTAAGCTTAAGGTAGTTTAAATGATTTTTATCGGCCTGATCAAAACCTCTAAAATTCTGGGATATGTTAATAAAGTATGCCAAATTTATTTGCGATAAGAAAATACTAGGGTCAGCGACTTAATTGTTTCGCAAATTGCTACTGAAAATTCACCAACTTAACACCCACTCTTATGGAAACTGGTCACAAAATCGACTATACATTCAAAAATCTTTGATTAACCTCAAAAATTTAAAACAGTTTTAGTGTATTTTTTTACGAAGAATCTATCAACTTCTTAAAAATGTAGGGTCAACGACTTAACTTGAGAGAAAATCAGAAGAAAAGTATGAAATATTAATCTGGCTTGCCTTGCAGCATCTCCCAATTTTCACAGTTATGACGGTACTTTTCTGGCAAGTTCTTGATCTTGTACTTAGGTTCTGTCGAAATAACTATATTTATTGAAAAATTTACCGTCGAAAAGCGTTGATTTATTAGGGGCCCTTATGGCATCCTACCCTATCTAGGTACGGTACCAACCGCCCAAGCCACATTAAATTTTCTGGAGGACAACCGTTTGGGTTGTGATTTTGAGGACACATGTAAAAAACCACAAGGATTCTAAGACTCTCGAACACTTATATGCAAATCCGGAGCAATTTTGCAATAAATACGTATTTGTTTGGTAAAACACTTTATTTGATATTGTACAAGCGGGTTGATTACAGCGTGAGAGGCGTCGTGAGTGTGAGCGGGACAAGCGTCTGGTCGTCTCGGAGAGCAGTGCTCAAGTGCCCGAACGCAGAGGCGGCTCCCGGCAAGGCGGAAGCCCGTGAGCATGGCGGAAGTGCACGCAGCGCCTCGCTCGGCTGTCGCGCTCGAGCGCGAAACCAAAAAATCCGCCCGCCTCGATTCTGGATCGAAGAACTACGTGCCACCCGCCAAACCGGGGTCGGTCGGGGAGTCTTCTGGAGGCTGCGGAGCCGCGGGAGGCGCTGACACAGGCAGCAAGACCACCATCCTTGATCGGCGAAAGAGCCCGCGACCAATCCCCAGTCCAGCTCGGCTGTCAGCAATGCATCGTGCAGCTCGACATCAGCGCGGCGGAAGCAAGTCGCGTTGTCACTCCATATCTCGCCGGGCCGACCGCGGCGTCCAGCGAATCGGTGGAGGGTGCCCAAGAAGGACACAGCTGAGAGGTCGCCGACCAGCTCAAGGTGCAAGGCCTTGGTGGCGAGGCACACAAAAACGGCGATGTAGCCTTTTGTGGTCTGGACTCCTCGTCCTCTGGCGGAGAGTACATGGAAAGGGCCGGCGTAGTCCACTCCGGTGCAGGCAAAGGCACGAGAAGGGGAGACTCGGGATGACGGCAGTGGGGCCATGAGTTGAGTCGCCAGTCGCGCTCGCAGCCGGATGCAGACGACGCACCTGCGGAGGTGAGCCTTGATCCGCCGGGGCCCACCGAGGAGCCAAGCGCGCTTACAGACGTAGGCACTGGTGACACGGTATCCACTGTGCAGCGCCCGAGAGTGCGCCCAGGCGATGACCATGGAAGCGAGGGAAGAGGCGCCGCTGAGGATCGGCGGGTGCCGCTCCTCGTAGGTCAGCGGCGAATGCTCGAGCCGCCCGCCGACGCGCAGAATCCCGTCGTCATCGAGGAAAGCTGCTAACGGTACCAAGGGGTTCGTCTTCCGCAGACGTTCGCCCCGTTGAAGACACTGGAGGTCGGCCGAGAATGATCTCTCCTGGCTGAGGCGTACACACGCGAGAAAAGCGTCGTGGAGTTCGGTCGGCGTAAGAGGTGAAGCGACCGAAAGCACGGGGCCCCTGCCCAAGCGGCTCCGGACGAATCGACGAATGCGTACGAGGAAGCCTAGTAGCATGCGTAAGTTGGAGAATTGCTCGAGGTAGCTGGCGTCAAGCTGCTGCACTACGCAGCAGATGGATGATTGCTGGTTCGGTGCGGGGAGCAGGTCTAGGGGCCACGAGTCGACGTCCTCGGCGAGCCAAGCGGGGCCCTCCCACCAAGTGCGCTGCGAGCGAAGGCCGGTCATGTCGGCACCTCTGGTCGCGATGTCGGCTGGATTTGACTGGGTCGGCACGTATCGCCAGACGCTCGAAGGCAAGATTTCCTGGATTTGGGCGACATAGTTGTCGATCAGCACGTTGTTGGTTGGCCTGTCTGAACGCAGCCAGTGCAGAACGATCTGTGAGTCGCACCATGCGTAACAGCGGTCGACAGGTATGCGTAGCTCGTCGGCAGCGGCCCGCAGGAGCTAGGCGGCAATCAGTGCGGCGCGGAGCTCGAGGCGCGGAATCGTCATGCGCGCGGTTGTCTCTGGCGCCGGCTTGAGCGAGCGAATCGGCGAGAGCTTCGTCCAGGCCAGAAGAATGTGGCAGAGCGCCGGCCCAGCCCCGGGCGCGAGGCGAGAGTAGATGACGGCTGCCATCACGCGGCGACTGGCGTCCGAAAAGCCGTGCAGGTGAAGCTCGGAAGAAGGCCTGACTCCGATCCAGCGTGGCAAGGTGAAGGTGGAGATGGCCTGGAGCTCGGCAGTAAATGCCGCCCATCGGCAAGTCATTGAGATCGGCGCAGGCTCGTCCTAGCCCAGTCTGGCGCGCCAGAGATCCTGAAGCAAGAGCTTGGCATTCAACACGATCGGCGCGAGCCAGCCGCATGGGTCAAACAGACCCGCGAGCACCGCGAACATCGTCCGCTTTGTGCTCTGCGGCTGAAATGGTGGAGGCATCAACTGAAAGCAGTCCGACGGTGGATCCCACTTGACCCCGAGCTCGCTGACGAGGCCTTCAGCGCTGAGCTGCTCCCAGGTCGGACGTAAGCCGCCGGCCTTCATGAGCCCGCTCAGCTGGTCGCGGAGGCGCCAAGCCGCGGTGACGTCGTCGGCCCCGGAGAGAAAGTCGTCGGCGTAGCGGTCACACAGGGCGGCTGACACAGCTTCGGGCCAGTTGTGGCCTTCGTCCTGGCGTTGGAGGGTACGCAGCGACAGGTAAGGCGAGCACGACTCGCCGTAAGTCACAGTGAGCAGCTGGTAGTGGGTTAGAGGCTTGCTGGGATCGGCAGCCCAGACGATCCGCTGCAGGTCGATGTCACGGTAGTCGATCCAAATCTGCCGGAACATCATGCGGATGTCGCTGCAGAAGGCGATGCGGTGCCGCCGCCAGCGCATGAGAACTGATGGGAGCGCGGCTTGGAGTCTGGGTCCAGCGTGGAGGACGTCGTTCAAGCTGTGGCCACTGGAAGTCGGGTTGGACGCGTTGAAGACTATTCGGAGCTTACGCCCGCGATCGTCATGCTGCCAGATGCTATGATGATGGATGGAGTTGACGGACCCAGCTGTAGCTGCAAGCACAGCGCTGGTGAGCGGGCGCATGTGGCCCATCGCGAGATAGTCAGCCATGAATCGACTGTACTCCACAGCCATGTCGGGGCTTCGCCGAAGCCGGCGTTGCAAGGCTGCCAAGGAGGCCTTGGCGCTCTGAAGACTGCCGCCAAAAAGAAGCGAACCGCTGCCCTTCAGCGAAAGGCGCACGATGTACCGTCCGTCCGCGGCGCGTCGGTGGTCTGCGAACGCACGCTCGCACTCGATGTCCTCATCTGAGCGGCGGTGAGCCTGAGGAAGATCCTCCATCTCCCAGAACCGCCGTAGCAGAGCGGTCAGCTCGTTGTGCCAAGGCGGAGCCACGTCGGATTGGGCGGCTGCACAGATGGCCGACGTACCTGGAGGGAGCCCGACGGCACGGCCTGCCAGTACCCAGCCAAAGACTGTGCGCTGCCCGACGACTTCTCCTCGTTGAGCGTAGCCGGGTCGTAGCAGCAAGTGGTAGTAGTCGGCGCCGATGAGGAGGTCGACGCGTTGTGGCGTGCCAAACGAAGGATCGGCGAGGCACTCGCAGTCAGCCCACTGCTGGATCGCCTCCGGGTGCAGCGGGGTGGAGGGAAATACCAGGCCGAGCCTGGGCAAACACAGCGCTGTCAGCGCGACCGATGGTGCGGGCCCTGGAAGCTCGAGGCGGAGATGGGCCCAGACTCTGGACCGGATGGCGGACTCGCCGCCGACGCCGGAGATGCTGGCTTCGATGGTTTCTAGTCATGCGCCGACCAGGCGCGCGAGAGTCGCAGAGATGACGGTGACCTCGGAGCACGCGTCGATCAGCGCTCGGGCCGGAACTCGACGACCAGGAGGACCACTCAGATAGACGAGGGCGGTCGGAAGCACGGCTGTCACGCTTGAGGTGACGCGTCAGTCGAGTGCTCTCCCGATGAAGAGGTGGGCGGGTCCGTGCGGGGCTGCTTCGATGACGTAGAGCCGTCGGGCTGCCCCGAGCGGTGGCGACGGGCGCCGTCGTGCAGTGAGCTGTGATGCTTCTCTCGGCAATATTGGCAAGCCGACCGGGAGGGGCAGTACTTCACTGCGTGCCCGGGTCGGAGGCAATTGAAGCACAGCCGTGCCTGGTAGACGAGCTCCCTCCGTGCGCGTACATCAAGCCCCTGGAACTGCACACAACGCCCGGGATAATGGCCCTCGTGGCACGCCGGGCACGACGGCGTATCGTTGCTCGTGGTGAGGGCGTGGTAATTGCGTCCTAATGTCGAGGAGTTCGAGCGTGCGGCTGTTCCGCTGAAGGGACGTACGGGCTGCGAGGCTTCGACAGAGCTGGTGGCGCGGCAACGGCGCCGAAGAAAGTCGGTCAAGGTGGCAAATGTGCCGACGTCAACCTCGGAGCCGGAAACGGTACTCTCCAACTGTTGGAGCTCCTCCTCCCATGCACGCCTCGTCGCTGGATCCATGCCCGTCATTCCACACGAGACAAACCAATCGTCCCAGCCGGCTATGGGACGACCTAAGGCACGAAGCTGGTCGCGATGTTTCTCCAGGGTGTCCAAGAGGCTCTGCAACCCACGGGCGGACTCGTCTCTGAGTGGCTTGATGTTCCGCAGGGCTGTGATATGGTCGTGGATGAGAAGGCGGCTGTGCTCGTAGCGCGCTTCAAGCAGAGCCCATGCCGTAGAGTAATTGGCCTCGGCTACCTGGACCGTATCGAGGGCCGTCTTAGCGTCTCCCTGAGCAAGCGACTTCAAATAGAACAGGCGCTTGACGTTGGTGAGTTGGCAGTCCTCGTGGATCAGCGCTTGGAAGAGATCACGGAAGCTCTCCCAGTCTTCTCGTCTCTCGGAGAAGTTCGGAATGCTGATTCTCGGCAAGCGAAGCCCACGGCCCGAAGCCAGGTTCCTTGGGCCCGGAAATGGCCCGGGAGGGACAGGTGCCAGCGCCAGGGAGTCTCTCGCGTCGTAGAGGCAAGACCGTACGTCGAGGTAGTGCGCTTCCACGTCAGTGTACAGCTGGACCAACCGAGACGCCTTTTCCGGTGGCGGAGCTTCGATGAGCTTGAGATGGTTGGCTTGAAAATCGCCTCAATATCCACCGAGCAATTCCAACCTCGCTTCTACCATGCCCGAGCTCCAGCGGGCTGGCTCTATCTCATAAATGGTGCGGGCCAGGTGGCCAATAACCTCGGCGAGAGCCGACTGAGCACCGAACAGCGCGGTCCAGCCTTCGTCCATTCTAAAACAGTATTCGACGCTTGAGCGGAATATGCCACCGAGTCACAGCTGGCGGTGTTAGGGGGGTCGACAATTCGAGTCGAATCGGCAGGCAACGCGCTTGAGCGGACAAGATGGCCGCCACGGCCGACAAGGAGGCCGTCAGCGGATCATCGCAACAATGGCGGCTTAATGAAGCCGGGCCACGTATATACCACTCGTTAACTTTGGTCGTCAGCGACACAGCCTGCTTGCCGCCGTGGCTGGGCCAAATGACTGGACCGCGAGCTCTGTCAGCCACGGTAGTCCCTCACAACATTTCACGCGTGCAGGGCGACACGGCTTCGACATTGCCGTGGCCGAACGACTGGTGCCGGGCTGCGGGCACTATGGCGACCGCGGCGGCCATGTTCACGCTTTGTTTGTCACTTATACTTACATTGCTTCGAATAATATGGAACCACCGGCTGTCCTCTGTGTTGCTGGTTGCTGGTTATCTCCGCGGAATCCGGCTCTCAAAGGACCAATGTTTGGTAAAATACTTTATTAGATATTGTTTACAAGAGGGTTAATTACAGCGTGAGAGGCGTCGTGAGTGTGAGCGGGACAGGCGTCCGGTCGTCTCGGAGAGCAGTGCTCAAGTGCCCGAACGCAGAGGTGGCTCCCGGCAAGGCGGAAGCCCGTGAGCATGGCGGAAGTGCACGCAGCGCCTCGCTAGGCTGTCGCGCTCGGGCGCGAAACCAAACAATAATAAATATTATAATATCATAAGCGCCAAATCCCACACAACCTGGGACCCTTACTGGTCGCTTACTTANCGGAGATGCTGGCTTCGATGGTTTCTAGTCGTGCGCCGACCAGGCGCGCGAGAGTCGCAGAGATGACGGTGACCTCGGAGCACGCATCGATCAGCGCTCGGGCCGGAACTCGACGACCAGGAGGACCACTCAGATGGACGAGGGCGGTCGGAAGCACGGCTAGTCACGCTTGAGGTGATGCGTCAGTCGAGTGCTCTCCCGATGAAGAGGTGGGCGGGTTCGTGCGGGGCTGCTTTGATGATGAAGAGCCGTCGGGCTGCCCCGAGCGGCGGCGACGGGCACCGTCGTGCAGTGGGCTGTGATGCTGCTCTCGGCAATATTGGCAAGCCGACCGGGAGGGGCAGTACTTCACAGCGTGCCCGGGTCGGAGGCAATTGAAGCACAGCCGTGCCTGGTAGACGAGCTCCCTCCGTGCGCGTACATCAAGCCCCTGGAACTGCGCACAACGCCCGGGATAATAGCCCTCATGGCACGCCGGGCACGACGGCGTATCGTTGCTTGTGGCGAGGGCGTGGTAATTGCGTCCTGATGTCGAGGAGTTCGAGCGTGAGGCTATCCCGCTGAAGGGACGTGCGGGCTGCGAGGCTTCGACAGAGCTGGTGGCGTGGCAACGGCGCCGAAGAAAGTCGGTCAAGGTGGCGAATGTGGCAACGTCAACCTCGGAGCCGGACACGGTACTCTCCAACCGTTGGAGCTCCTTCTCCCATGCACGCCTCGTCGCTGGATTCATGCCAGTCATTCCACACGAGACAAACCAATCGTCCCAGCCGGGTACGGGACGACCTAAGGCGCGAAGCTGGTCGCGATGTTTTTCCAGGGTGTCCAAGAGGCTCTGCAACCCGCGGGCGGACTCGTCTCTGGGTGGCTTGATGTTCTGCAGGGCTGTGACATGGTCGTGGACGAGAAGGCGGCTGTGCTCGTAGCGCGCTTCAAGCAGAGCCCATGCCGTAGAGTGATTGGCCTCGGCTACCTGGACCGTATCGAGGGCCGTCTTAGCGTCTCCCTGAGCGAGCGACTTCAAATAGAACAGGCGCTCGACGTTGGTGAGTTGGCAGTCCTCGTGGATCAGCGCTCGGAAGAGATCACGGAAGCTCTCCCAGTCTTCTCGTCTCCCGGAGAAGTTCGGAATGCTGATTCTCGGCAAGCGAGGCCCACGGCCCGAAGCCGGGTTCCCTGGGCCCGGGAATGGCCCGGGAGGGAC